ACACCAGCACGCCCTCACCGCACGACGATGCAGCCAGCTGGGCGAGCCATGGGAGCTGGCTGGGGGTCACAGGCTGCTGGTTCTGCAGAGGCAAAGAGAGATGCTGGGGGAGCCCAGGCAGCACCGAAGGGGTCTGGAGACGGAGCAAAAGATGGTAGCTAATTTGTTCATTTATTTATTTATTTGTTTAGCTAAACAAAGAGGACAAAACCACACTTTCTGTGCTGTTAAGAGGAGGGACTGAGAAACAGTACTGCCAAATATAAATTCTCTTGATCTAAAGATCTCTTACATGTCTGGGCAGGAGGGGGGGAAGAGGAACTGAGAGAGAAGAGGAGGGGACACTGCTTGAGTTTGTTTTAACTCTCATTTCGCTTTTAACCGTCGAAGATTAGAGGGAGAAGTTAGATAATGCAGCTTTAAGATTTAACAAGAGGACTTCTTAGAGGACCTGTTTCCCCTCCATGCCGTAGTGCCTTCCTTGGGCAGCCTGTGTTTGAGGCTGCTGGTACTGTCTGATCTCAGTGAGGTGGGACTCCCTCCATGATCTCATGAAGATCTGCTCCAAGTCTTCAATCAGGGGCACCTGGTCAGGGCCTTGGGAATAAAGGTGAGAGAAAAATAAACTGTAGTCAGTGTGGTGAAGAATAATTCAGAACACTTAACCATATGTTAGACTGAGGACAAAAAGACTGCTGGAGTCTGTTGACCTAAGCTCGGATGACCTCATTCATTACCAGTTGGCTGATCTGCCTCACAGTGGCCATTGTGAGGCACAGCAGCGTAACTGTGTTTCCTCCTGTCTGCAGTCCTACTGAACTGTGTACGATCACAGCCTTTACTCTGAAAGAGGGTTTTAAACTAACCTAGCTGAACGAGGTAGTAGACTGTGAGCAGAATCTGCATCTCAGCAGACAGCGGCTGAATGGGTGACGGTCCATAGTGCTGGTAGACTCTGGGGAGTGTCTGGGAGCTCAGGTAACAACTCTGGAGCAGAGAGCTGACGAGCACTTCAGCGACATTGCCAGTCAGCTGAGGGAGAGCACCATGACCTGTGTCAATGGGAGGGAGACATAAAGCAGATGAACACATGGTGGTGGCTGAGAGTATTGGTTGTAGTTCAGTTGCTAGATTAACTAAGATTTTTTCATTCAGCCTAAAGTGTCCTTGGGTTAAACATCAAAAATAGCCAACTGTTGGGGGGTTACCAAAAACCTCACTTGTTCACCTGCTTGAGAAAAATCATTACCAAAGCCCAGCTAGTCAATAATGAATGACTAATTAGTCAGCTCTGTCACAGGTTCCAATAATCGTGTCCAACTACCACTGCATGTACGCAGGTGTGGCTGAAAACGTGCATTTACTGTAATCGCCATAAATATAAGTAATATAATCAAACCTTTGAAGATGACAGGTTGCAGACTGCAGGTGTGTAGCAGCTGATCAGGCACCGTAACAGACAGTCCTGGGGGAGTTAGCGGGGTAGACGACCTCTGCGATGAACTCAGCAGGGCTGCACTCTCTGGATACAGAAGACAAGTAGATACATTTAAAACTCGCACACAAACACAATCTTGTTCACACATTTAGCATGTTTCTGCCGATTTAATTTTCATCCATATAAGATTCTTCTGCTTTTACCTGATCTGGCTCCACCTGTCATGCCAGAAGACACAGATGACGTTGATGCGAATGAGGAGGACGGCGGTGTCTTCACTGCGCTTTCTGACACACTACTGGCAGACGACTCAGGTGACCAGCCCTTGTGCCTCTTTTTTGGGGGTCCAGTATTTGCATGGGGTGCTGGAGGATAAAAAACAAGGCTGCATAGTGTACACGGTGTATTACCTCTGTTAGGTATTTTTTTAGTCAGATAGAAATTGGTTAGATCCTTGTTGTATTAGAAATGTTTAGTGGAGACAGGATGTCTAGTTTAAATGCTTAGTCATTCTCATGAGTTTTGCAGGGTGCACATGGTCAAGGATAACTAGATAGAAAAAGTTTGATTGTCAGCAGGCAGGATGATTATTGTTATTATTATGATATGTTTAACCGTAATTGTAATCATAATATTTTCTTATGTTTAATGTCATGACATGTCACTAGATGTCATGTCAGAATGTTTTTAGATACACACCACACAATCAACATTCACACACATTGATTCTCTCCATGTTTTGACTATTGCTATGGTCAGCTGTAAAGCTGGCATATCAGGTGACGCCACGGTTTGACGTTGCTGTGTAGAATGGGGCTAGCCCAACCGAAGTGATAAATGTATAGGCCTATTGTGGTTCAGGGTCTTTCATTCTTCATCTGCCTGCGCGCAGTATTGGAGGTGGAAGATATCTGGACGTGTAATGTTAATTTTACCTGTGATTCTTTGAATAAACCAGCACGTTTTTTTTTATATATATCCAAGTGGTCCGCTTCGTCTCTCTGAGTTCCACTGGTTAAAAGAACCGAAAAAAGCTTTCACCTTCATCATTTTCTCCCATTTTGTACATAATCTAAATTTGAAGTATTTAAGTGCATTCAAAAAATATTAAGACATAAACATTTAGTTTTTTCCTATTTTATGTTCCAGCTAAAGGATCTTGTTGTTGCTTCTTATCTGAATTTCTTCTTTCTTTCTTTTTTTTGGCTTATTCACTGTCACATGTTTCTAAAATTCAGTTCGCTTTAGGGGTGATTCTTTCCCCTGTAAAAGAACAGAACATACAGCAAACAATGTAATGAAAACCAGCTGTATTTTAGTCATACATTAACTGTCCTCTTCTTCTCAACTTTCTGTTGAAATGCAAGAGGCATAAAAGATCCACTTGTTAAAAGGGTCATGAAAAAAAAAACAACATTGACAGGAAGGAAGCTTTTCATTCAGCGAGAAAGGAGGAAAAAAGATGAGACAGAGAAGGAATTTTACAGCCCTGGTTTATAGAGGTGACAATGAAGGAGAGGGAGGCAGGAAGGCAGAAAGACAGTGAAGAGAAAAGAAGGAGGGAGATGTTTAGTGCCCCAAATGTTGGCAAATAAAAGCAGGTAAAACAAAGGCAGCCCTAAAACACAATGCAGCTGGTTGGCTCCTGTATAGCAGAGGTGTTGTAATACAAGCACACACACACACACATAGAGTTAGGCTGCCGGTGGCATGAGCTCTCCCTTTCAGAAGTGTGAAGAAACCTGGAGGGGAAGTTTAATGACAACAGACAGACCACTTTCACGTGCACACAGGAAGCCAGATTGCACTGGGCATGGATAATTATACAACACACTGCATAAGCTATAACAGCTGGAAAACTTTACAACCCCAACTGACCTGCAGTTAGTTGGTGAGCTCTCAGATTTCTTGTCTTACCACAACTATAATTTTGAAGAGTGCTGGCTTATATACAAGTATTTTAAGTTAATATTAAGGAACTTAATTTGTGATATTTAAAATGGACTCATGCACAGTGTTCAAGTTTCTGAAATAAATCATGTCTTCCAGTATAAGAAAGGATAAGAAAACTTTTGTAACACTTGTCTTGAGAAGGTTTGTGTAATTTTTAAGTGAAAATGACAAGTGGAGCAGATATTGTTCCTGCTGGGTATGAAAGATAAATCATGTGGGGTTTAAAACCCTGCTGTCACATGAGCACCCTCACAAGATTTTACTACTTCCATTAAAGTTGTAACTGGAATTCAAAATAACTAATTTTACTAATAAAAGTAATATTATCTGTATTTCAAATGACACGCCATGTTTATATATCTTTCTTGACATCAAATTCTGCAGCTACAGTACCTGGAGCTGAGGGTCTCCCAGGCCCTGGCCGATTTAAAAAAGGCTTGGCGACGGAGGGGACAGCATGGTTGCCGTTTGTCAGCAAGTGGGAGACATCAGCTATTTGTGGCAGAAGAACATTGTCCACATGTGATCTTGCTGTATCCAGAGAGAGACAGGAACAACATGACCGTTAAGAAATGTGGCTTCTCATAGCACGTTCCGTGGTATTTATATTGTTTAAATATCCAGTCATTGCTACTTTACTGCAAAAACATGCATTCGTTTGAAACCATAACAATATTGTTTTGTGTATATGAACATCAGAATAACCTCCACATTTCTATGTGTGTATGTGTCCTCTATTACCTGGGCCAGGTGTGTGTGATGGCAGGTTTGCTGTCTGGTCCCCTGCTCTCACAAGGCCTTCTGAAAGGCTGGATCCCACATGTCTCATCCTGGCACCTGAGATGCACACAGTCACGCAAACTAAGTATTTTGATAAAGAGGAAAAGAAACTACCAACAGTGAATTCTCACATTTGACCCGTGGTTAAGGTTTGGTCTGACCCGTACACTCATTGTGATCAATAAAGTCAGACTTCTAGACTTTTTTTTAGGACAATACAGGACTGAAAATATAGATGAAACCCTCTGCCCACATATGCATTATGTTTGACCTGGTGAAAGCACAGTTACTCTTCTCACCCAGACCCTCCTTATTTATGTTTTGCTTGGCTGGTCTTTCCTTTCAGCTAATTCATCCATGTAATCATGTGAAAGTGGCAGGGTTTTCCATTAACAGTCTCTAGCGTAAGTGGAGCACAGTGTCATGGACAGACAACACACACACACACACCATCACCTGGCGCTGTTCTTGCCCTCAGTAAATACAATATTCTGCATTATTTTAAAATACTGATTTTCTGTCTACCCTCCAGTGCTAAGCTACCAGTACAAAAGTGCTATATTTTTAAACAAGCCCTCATATGCCCAGTTTCTATAAGATCTTCAGCCAAAATAACCAGTCAATGTCAAGTGCCCAGTGTGTATTTTAATACGTTGGTCAAATAGGCCCTCCATATTTTTACACTTAGGTGCTTCTATGGGCACAAACTTCTTGACTGCTATTGATTATGCATGTTCTATTACAGTGTGTTGAATTCCAGCAAAACAAAAACATGTGTTTGTGCCAGATTTGGAATCAGTTGCCAAATACCACACGTGTATCCATCTCTCACCGTGTTCCCTCCAGCTGATGGGGGCTCCTTTGACCAGCACGCCCTGGTTGTTTCGGTACAGATGGTACTTCAAGTGCTTCTGTTTTTTGGGCTGGGTGCTGAGCTTCAGGTTGATGTGGTTGGCGAACTCGGTGAAGTAGCAGAAGCCCTTCTCTCCACAGCCCATGCAGTTCCCCAAGAACCCTGGAGGGAACACACATTCATAAAGTGTGTGACTAAAACAGAGTGTGTTTTAAATGCCTCCTCAGTGACACACGTGCACCTCCCTGGATAATGTCGTCTTACAATGCAACTTATAAAAGGTCATTTTTCAACCCTGAATGCCAACATTTGGAAGTTTTTTCAGCAAACAGCGATGATATTTTCCTGTGTACATCTCGGCCTCACCCAGCAGCGCGTTGTGACCCCGTTCATCTGGCAGGAAGCGGCGGTCCACAGCGCATACCAGCAGGTTCTCAGGGAGGGAGGGGGACTTTACCCCAACCAGCATGAACCCAGGGGACACATCCAAGGGATCCAATGCCAGTGAGGACAGACGCAGGTCTCTGCCGGCCTGACAGAAGCCTGTAGGGATGAAAAGACAGGATGGGACAGTTACTGTCAAACGACTTTGTCTTATTATAACATAAATAAGAAGAGCGATATGATCCAGTATGCAGGCAGCTCACCTGGATACCTTTCCCCGCTTTATCTGTTGTCAGTGAGCTAGTACAGGTGATTTACATTGTTTCTCCCCAGCTACAATCTTCCTTTAATACACTTGGCTCTACTTTGCAGCTGCCTCTAAAGGGCAAGTGCAAATTTAACAAGTTTTCACACAAAACTTATGCCTGCAAAACCAATCACACTCATCATGACTCCCTTTGCCATTTTCATGATCCTTCCTTAAACACCCAGCACATGCATAAAGGAGGCGGACCCTCATTATATACAAGAGGCACCACCATGCAGGTACAGGCCGACTACACTTCCTGGTCAGTGTGCCTGTTTGCATATCTCCTGGTGACTGTAGTGTGGCGCATAGTCTTAGTAAATGTGGTCTGGGGGTGTATTATTCATGTACATATATATGTGTGTACAAACCATCTGTGGTACAGCATCCCTCAGGTGGAGGCTTCATTTGGTATGGCACTGGGGGGCTATTAGACCGTGAGCCATCTTCATTGTCCTCATCTTCATTCTCCATGCGGCCTGTTGGGGACACTGACAACAAGTGATAACCAGACACAGACGCAATAGAGTTAACAGTAAGGGTGTTTAGGATAAAACTGAGACAAACTGTGCAGCTTAGTAAAAGTTTCAGGCTGATTTAGCTTCCTTTTTGTTACTGTAGTTCATTCAGATGCAGGAAATTAATACACTGCTTTGCTGAACTCGATATTGCACCTCCTACGTATCCATGCAATGCACCTTCTTGTGTCAAATGTTGTTCCGTCTCGAGGTACAGCTGTGAGAAGACAGGTCGGGGCACGATGGTGTTCGACCTCAGTGATGCCTCGATGGAGTTATGAAGGACTTCTTCAAAGCGTGTGTTCCGCGGCTGGCCCGCGTAGGAGTTCCCCATTGGTGACCTGCAGAAACACAGTATTGTACTGGATACTCAAAAGATACATATATGCAGGTAGGTGGTAATTTGTTTTTGTTTGCAATGTCAATTTATCCAAACCCCAATGTGTTTCCCCAGTTGAATTTTTACTGCACTGAAAACCATTCAGGTACTGTAAGTACAAATACACCAGTCTTCCCATTATGCTGTATGTTTAGTGTTAGTGTTGTTTCAGCAGTAGACATAGAAACAGTAACAATACTGTACACTGGAGGAAGATAAAATAATAAATGAAAACCAGTAGAAGGGCCATGTATGTGATAAAAGATAAAATATATTGAAAGTCTGCTTCTGTTTGCATTAGCTGTGTGCTCTAAACACTGGCCCTCCTTGTTTACTTACTTATAGCTTACAGTCTTATGCACAGTGACTTATAAAGAGTGCTGCAGTGGAATATACTGTAGAACACACTCCATATCATATCCGACATGCAGACAAACAAATGACTAGAGGTGGCTTTCAGTGCCACCTGAAAGCATGGGCTAATTACTATTATTCAAAATGCACAATGCTAAAAAGCCTATCAGAGTTTTCCCAAATGTATTGAAGCACTGAGAACTAATGCATTGCCTAATGCTGTCAAGTCTAAACCACCCACCCACTCACACACACACACACACACAGTGGTTAGAATGTGTCCAGACCATGAGCCATGAAATCAGCTCCACTGACAGAGTCAGGGCACCCTGACCTAGACGCTGCTCCCTCAGCTTGTTTTTCTTCTTTGTCACTCTCCCTGGTTTTCTCTCTGATTTGCCTCTCATCTGCTCTCAAACAAGGAGGAAAATGGGGATAGGTATAGAAAACAGACAAAAGAGACATGAAAGATGAAAAAAGACCAGTAGGAGGTGAAGAAAAATAAGGATGTAAAAGGATGTAAAAAGCAACAGAAGAAGGAAATGGTGAGACAGAGAGTGGCAGTAACAGAGATAGAAAACAGGGACAGAGACGGGTTAAGGACAGAGAAAGGAGGTAGAGCGTGTCGGTGTGGCAACAACTAGTCATCTATAAACTGTGTGGTGTATGAGAAACACAGCACTAGACTCACAACACCATGCACATCCAAGCACTTTCCTGCACTCATGTTTTTTATACATCTATACAGACAAATGTGAATCTAGGTTTATTTTTTCAGTTTTGGTATCCAGACAACATGCCATAAAATCATCTGCACCAACAGAGTCAGGACAACCTGACATAGCCACAGCTCCCTCTCTGTTGCTCTGCTTCCTCTCTCTCTCTAGTTTTGTCCCCGGTTCACCTCAGCCGCACTCAGTCAGATGACAAAGCCCCAGAGAAAGAAATTCTTGCATGGACTTTTTCTGACAAACCCGGTCACATGAGGCTCACTGATGGGTCAGAAACCTGCCGGTCAGCTTCATGTGGACACAGGTCTGTCTCAGTACAGACTTAAAACTCTTTGTCATTCACTACAGCCAGGGCTGCAGCTTCTTATAAGAGTGAGGATTTTGTCCACAAATTGTGTTGCCAACAGTCAGTAAGGCCAAGTCAAAGAAACAGAACAAAAGAACATGAAAAACAATTATCAGTTAAAGTTCATGTTACATCTCCAATAAGCAAAAATATTTATGTACTATATTAAATTAAAGGAAACCCTTTTTGCCATCATCCATATATCCATTTTCTATGCCGCTTAATCCTGCTCTTTCAACAACAACAGAGTCTATTTAGACTTTCTGCAGCTCCACACGTGAATGATTTTCCTTGTGCGTCACCCAGGTTATGTTCCACATTCCCCTGGAACCAAATACACTAAGCAAGTTGGACATGCTGTGTTCGTGAAAGACAAAAGGACTGAATTTAATTTATTGCTGTAACCACAGCACCATGAACTGTTAATAAGTTCATACAAATTTGATAAAATTCTAAAAGATGGTGGTTAAAAAAACCCCATAGCCGTCCTGTGTAGGAGCAGCTTCTGTTAGCAGAGCTCAACAGAACTGAACAGACTCAATTTTGTGTTGGAAAACAAATCGCTAAATGAAATACTCATGAATACACAAGCACACACACACACACACACACACACACACACACAACTCATCAACCATCTGCTGCTTCCACACTTTCATATGTAAAGAAGCAGCTCAGACTTTAATGCTTTGCACCACTTTGTAGAGAGACAAAAAAAGTCTGGTAATAACACAGGCGGCGCTGAGAGGAAGCAACAACACCTTCTTCCAAAGAGCAGCCTGATTTTTTTACAACCAGAAATAGAGGAAACAGGGAGGAGATGAAAGCAGAGAGGTGATTTCCACCTCTTATTGAATCCTAATCAATCCCTAAACTTCTGACCAATTGGAAAACAAATAACCAAATACCACTGGCCTAAATCCATCAGATACATTTTATTACATGGTTACTATTGCTCAACCTCAAGATAGGCCTAACAATAATTTTATTACATGGTTACTATTGCTCAACCTAACAATAATAATAATAATTAATATGGCTCTTTTTTGAGCTGTCTTGTTTGGTCTTGTAGCTACTTGGCTTTTCTGTCACACATTAACTTGGATCAATACTGCACAACATCAATGAGACACAGTACTGACACAGTATACACAGGTAAATATGTGTCAGCTATAATGTAAGGAAGCACACAAAGGAAACTAGAGTCGTGTTTTCTAAATTGTTCAGTCAAAATGTTAATCAGCATATTTAATCTCACATATGCTGAATTTCTTTTTAAGAAGTATGTGTTCCTAAAAACTCCACGAGACCTGTGGCGGGTACAGGACGACACCGCAGACAAGACAGAAACAAGCAAAACCTGCAGGGAAGCTTTGTTGCTCTTCTCTCCTCCCACCTCCCTGCCTTCCTATCTGCCTGACATGGAAGTGGGAGATCCTGTCATCTCCCCCCTCCCTTCTTCTCTTTCTGTCTGTCTTACACCCCGGGGAGAGACACACTATTGTGGTGTTTTATAACCCCTCGGACCTCCTTCCCACCGCCAACACCAGCCGCAAACACACAACCTCACACATACAAACCTGCAGGATCCCTCTAAACTGTGAGCACCATGCATAGCACAAAGCGTTCTACCACAACCACGGCTTTTCCACTAAGCATTTTAACACGTTTAAAGGCTTCTTCAGTAAAAACTACAGAAACAGAAGGAGATAACTTTTTATGAATTACCTGGCTTCTTGACATGAAGAGGGAAAATGATTTGTTAGCAGCATATTGAACAAAAGATTTACATAGAAGAAAGTGTTCAGCAGAGATCTGGTGTCCTATAATGACCATGATCATCTATCAGTCCTATACATTACGCCTAAAAGACATCTTTTATTACACAAACTGTCACCTCAGCTCCCTGCTAACACAGGCAAACACACATATTCTTTCTGATTTGGGGGCATGGATGTGTGAGTTTGATGGATGTCTCATGACCATGAGGTCAAAGGTGAGCCCAGATAACAATGTTTAAGTAAGACTTTGATGTGGCCTATACTTCTAATACACACGCACAGAAACATGTGCACATGCACACCCATACACACACTCTCCCATGGGCTCTGGCTCAGTGGACACAAAGAGCTTGTTTTGAGGGGTGAAAGGTCATTCAGGGAGAGGTCAGATAAGAAGCCAGGCTCTTTCTCTGTTGGCCAGGCCCACATACCAGTTGTACACACACACACACACTAATGCTGCTCTTAGTTCTTTCTGTTGAGGGTCGCAGTCTCCAACCTCCACCTCCACTCTGGCCTCTTCAATAGCAGATCTTATTACACGTACACACACACACACACACACACACACACAGATATACACAACTGAGTGTATCCACGCATACGAATATGGCCGACAGCGTGTGTACAAATGCACAGAACTCAAACTGTGTGAGTAGAAATGCTTGTATGTGTGTGTGTGTATGAGACAGAGATAAAGCAGAGGAATGTCCAGCAGTGTCAGATGGTCAGTGCAGCATCTCTTTCAGCCCTGAACAGTAAAATTAAAAGATAAAACTTTGCAGATGCTCTGTGAGCGCTGACCCACAGCCCAACACATATGCAAAGGGATGTCAGTTGCACACACACAGACACACACACCCACAGTAGTGGACCTTCAGATGGGCTTGTCACTGACAAGTGACCCACAGCAAATGCTCTCATTCACAGTGTGCTCGGCAGACACTGGTCAATGGTCAGCCAACCGAGTGGCTGACCGCTCGGACAGCCCCTCAGACGGCCGTCCAACCACACACCCACACACTGCACTGGACGGCTGCTCAGCTAAGCACAGGTCTGCCAAAACACAGGAGTTCAAATCACTGACCCTGTGCCCAAATAAGAATTTGCAATGTTGCTGACTTTATAAAATTAGCATGCCAACACAAGGAAACCACTGTGTGCTACAAAGACACAATACAGGCAAACACAGTGTACTTCTTTGCAGGACACTATCTGCTAGAGTTACTGTAAAGGAATAACTGGAAGGCACTGTGAAGCTCCAACGCCCTGCTATGTCTGCTCAGTCTGCTGCTTTGCTATCTTACTTCCTGTCCTTGGGTTTTTCCCTTTTGCTCTGACTCCAGGGAAACCTGTATTGTCTACATCATGCTAATCTGGCTGAAACTGCAACTCTGTATGGTTTTAAACATTTCATTGGCAGAAGGGAAATTAAAACTGGGCCATGAGCTAAAAGACTTACATCAAGCAGGGCTTATGTGATTTCAAATGTATTAAACATGTTCACACATACAATATCACGTTATGAGCAGCAGCAGACACGGAAATGCAGGGATCTGCATATATTGTATCTACATGCAAACAAACTGCAGACACTCAGTAATTTCCTTCTGTGTGTATTTCAAATTTTACACAAAAAACACTGGTTTATTTAACAGCTCAGAGATGGATGAAACATGTCAGAACTTATCAGAGAAATGGATTCACAAATATTCTATTTAAAAATTCCAAGACGCCAACTCATCTGTTTAAAGACTCAGAACAGTTTCTTGTTGAACAGGCTGGTTCATCTTGTAGCGCCAGTTGTTAAACTGCAGCCTGATGTCAGAAGTTTACAAAAAGCACAAACATTTGTGCAGCGCAAGCATAAAACATGTTTATCCTCATGAAAAATATTTATATTACCACATATCAGACCTAGGACAATGTGAGATGGAGCAACCATCTGTTGTTGATGGAAAAGTCCAACAGTGGTGTACGTTACCCGTTTGCAACACGTTAACAAGGGTTCCAGAAAATGTACATTAATTTTCACATACAGCCAGGAGAAACAATAAAATTGCTCAAAGTTTGATCCCCAAACTCCTTATTACATACAAAAGTATCCTTTAAAGCGCAATGACCGCGGAGAGGCGCAGCTGCAGGCCACAGCTACGCACTTTAAACCCTTTTGAAACATTGTGCCCCAACAGCATCAGCAACAGCTGAGCGCAGTGAAGGTCTGCTTTTCATCACCGCGTAGCCAGGGCATGTAAAACCACTGTCAGAAAAAAACAACCTCTGAAAGGACAGGACTCACCTCTACAATCCCGCGGCTGAAGCCCGGGAACTACTCTTCACGAAAAGCCTGCACGTTGATCCAGGCGCGCTGTCACCATGTCTGCAGCCGGAGCCCTGCGGCGGGACTGGGTGTCGCGGTGTCATCACCTCTGCTCCTCCAAAGAAAGGTCCCTCCCCCCATCCTGCCCAGTAATGGTACGGTCCGGCATTCGCTTTTTAAACAGGTCGCTTACTGCGTTTCTACTCATTGTTTCCTTTCCAAAGATAATGCTAAATTGTAAGTACTGCCATATCGTTGCTATGCTATTATAAAAGAAAACGAAGCAATTCAATGTTGAGAAATGAAAACAAAATGAAAACTAAAAATTCGGGATGTTCAGGTAAATATGCAAAGCAGAGAAGCTCAGTGTCCTCCGTGTTCTCCGGTCTGGACATGAATGCTAATAACTTAATTAGACCAAAAGACTATTAGTAAATCCACCAAAACTCAATTAATCAAGAAAATAATTGACGATTAAAATTAACATTTAGTTGTAAACTAAACGAGCATGACGATATCACTGAGTCCTGTATGTTTATTCTTTTATATCCCAACTAATCCTCAGCTCAACTGCCAGTTGAAAGTTTTTTTAATAGACAGCCATGTGTTAAAATAAAAAAAAATGTTAGAACACATAAGAAGCTACTTGGTGGATATCCAAAATAGTTAAAACTGTATGAATTTCAAAGCATTCAATTAAGTTTTTTATTATTATTCAATTTTTCTTCTATGAGAGGCACTGATTATGTTTTGTTTACATAGTCTAAAATTACAAATGTGTTTTACTGCATGACACTCTGTTTTCAGATAAGGAAAAACTCCACATACAAAGTAATAACAAACCATCTTCTCTGTGGAGAAACACTGACTTTACTGAGTTTACTGTAGTGGATTAAAATCGTTTGCCACCTCAGTATCAGGCCTCTCAACCACACACAGTGCTCATCTATTGATGTCTGTCGCCCTCTGCTGGAGGACAGGGGAGTAACTTCATTTAGTAAGTGTAATAAAATATTCTTAGTAATTTAACTGTCTAATTGTATGTTTTCCAAAAGTAGCTTTGTTTATTATCATCGCACTGTGATCACACACAGTTGACAAAAATGAGCTGTGATGAGTTTAGATTTTTTCATTTGCTTTTTAATCCTTAACTGACAGTGGCATAGTGCACTGACACACATGGTAGTATTCAGTGTTTGCTCTGTATATATATTACTAACTTCAAACCCACCTGTCTATGTGAGAGTAGTGTTGAGTTATATGTTTTCAGTTATTTTTGCCACAAACTTGGTCAGAAATGGTGATAATGTGCCCAACATTTTTCTCATGAATATTTTCATTACATTTTAGAGTTAAAGCACAATAATCATCTTTTTCATCCCTCCCCAGATGGTAAACCTGATTATACTGAGAGTATGAAAGAAGTGTGTCCACGCAGCCGCTCCTCTTTGTTTCTACTGACATGAACAAAATTATGAATCTGTGACCAGAGTACGTCACCTCCCCTCCCTCCCAGGTAATCTGTCATGCTGATGGGACAAGAGCCACATCAAACAACTGATTTCATCTTTGCCACATTTGGAAACTTTTTTATATTGCAGTTTTCACATTTTATAACTTGTGTGTCCACATACACATCCCATAATTCTAAACGGTGTTCCCATCTGCCACATTACATCTTGGTGATACCAAGAATCAAATTATAGTGAAAAGATAATTTCATATCACAGGTCAGTGATTTTTCCAATATGTGAGTGAGATTCACTTTTTCAAAAGTCACAATCACATTGTATAAGGAGTTTGAAACTGTCTGTTGGGGGCTGCGGTCTTAACAACATTTTACTGAGGTCTGGGGAAGTACCGGCTCTGCCAGATACAAGTTTGTATTATTAGTCTGACCATCACATAAAGCTTCTGTTTAATCTACTCACCTGCGCCATTTCTTTAGCAGATGAATTCAAACCTTTGTGGTGATGAGCAGTGACATACATAAGCTTTTGCTGCTTTAGTCACATGACAGATTTTCTACGACGAGAATACTGTGCAAACAGATGACAATAAAAGCAAACCTTAATCAGTTTTTGGATTCGATTTTTGAATTGATAGTTATTTATAATTTGATATGAGGACAGATGAGCAGAACCGGAGGCCAAATTATACGTCCACATTTCAGTCGAATCCAAAAACAGCTATAACGGTTCATCTGTTTGCTAAAATACAAATGTTATTTCATTTATGATCAATTCATTACCTTATTAGCCACGAAGGCTTTTAAGCTTTCTTTATAAAAGGGCATTTATAAAAGACATCATGGTTTTCCACTGCGGTCATCCCTCCTAATTACAGCTTACGTTTTGTCACTGGGAATCTCATACTTCATCCTTTCTGCTGCCCCAACTGGGCAGTGCCAATCTGTACAGTGGCATAGCCATGCCACGCCAACACAACATCCCCTGATGGGAGAACAGGTGTTGGACAGGGTCCAGTGGAGCAGAGCAGAGCGGGCTGCCATGATATATCTGATGAACCGGCCAGCACCGACTCCTCTGGCCTGAGGGAGGGGGACCCAGCCATTTATTAAGTGTGTGTGTGTGTACATGTGTGTGCCTGTGCACAGAGGTTCAGAGATGGCAGCAGAGGTACAACAATGAGCCCTGACAAAACGGACTGGGACCCGGAGACCCAACAGAGAAGTAGGCTAATCTGCAAAATCCTCAAACAAAAACTATATATTTTGGCTTGAAGCTATTCAAAATTTTACAGCCCACAAAGGATTCTGTTTTGACATGTTGCTCCATGAAGACATAGGGGTGTCAGATGAATAGACTACAAGGTTTTTTGCTTCTAGGTAGAGGAATAAATCTCCTCTGGCAGCGCTGTGTGGACAAAGGAGCAGCCCTATAGACAGTCTATCTGTATCTAACAAAATGTTCTCTTTAATTCCATCAAACATATTTCTCCAAATTTGGGGTGGCCTTAAAACAGTTGCCCCGTGACCCATGTCTGTTTCCTGATTCAGACCTTAAGAAGCTGTTTTTATTGGGTTTGTGAGATCGGTTTCTCAAATCTCTTTATGGCTAATTTTACAGCCAAAATGACACTGGGTATGATGATTTGCTAAGTCGCTGTGGAGTCATATTAGCCCAGGCAAGGCTTGTAGTTCCTGTTAATGGGTTGAATATAATATTTTATGTCCCGTTGCTATAGCCACGGTGCTTAACTTGTGATGTAAAAATAGTCAGGCCCATCCATTTTAGTATAAATACTTCACTTCGCTTCAACACACAGACTGAGCTGTATGTAAAACGCGTCTATTTGAATGTGCCCCAGCAGAGGGGCAGGTATTGCTACTTCACACACATAATGACGGCCCAGGTCGTTTGGCTGAGAATAATGGTGGTTTTGCTGTAAAGCATATCACTCTCATTAGGTTTTTACACACTGGTTGTGCCCAACTGGAGATGCACTTGTCTGGACACACACTCACACATGCATTCACACACACATGTGTGAACCCATACATGTGCACACAAATACACACACACATATCCATCTCCAAAACCATTAAATCGCTTTGAAAAGGAGCCTCATTTGAGAGAAGCAATAAAATTTTTAATCATTTTATTACCAAAAGAGTATTTAACAAGTGGGTAATGAAACGCCAAAGGCAGGTTAGCTGAATTTAACCTTCATAGAGGAAGCCATGTATCACATGCTGCCCTGAGGCATAGTGGGACAGAAATGTCATCCTCCATTATCCACCATACCTGAAGTGTGACGTTGTGCGGCTGGCAGGCAGGCGTCTCGCTCTGCAAGGCGAGGCTGACGGGAAATTAGGGAGAATTCAATTAATGGACGTTTTTTACGCACCAGGGAGAGGGCACAGCTGCACACACACCTTAATCTGTGGCACACACATAAACGCAACACACTTGTGAATGGACACACACATACCTCGATGCGTACCTTGCACTGTGAGGGGTTACTGACATGACGGGGGGCAGGAAGAACACACCTAGCACTCTTTTTTTATAACTACACTTCTTCACTTTCTATCGTTCTCTCTCCTGCTGCTGAAGTAGAGCGTTGGTTCTGTTGACTTCCTCTGTCTCTCCCTGTGGTGACAGAGCAGGGTCGCTCCACTGCTTTCCTTCTGCGGGTCAATTAAGGAGAAAATTAGGCAGCGGGGGACACTCTCAGTCTGTCACCATAAAAGAATCACACCTACATACCTACCGACCTGCCAGTTGGTCATTTAATATACTGCTAAACTGCCCTGCAACCTAAGTGTGGCTGACTGTAGCATATACTGTATGTAGAGGATGAAAAAAGTGGTATTTCCAGAAATGCAATCGCCAAGTCCTCATGGTAGTGGAAATCCACCAGCCACCTCTGGTAGCACCAAATACAGGCCCAAACATTACATTTCACAATTTATTTGACACCCAGGAATAATTTATGGCTGATAACAAAAATACTCTATTTTCAATAACAAGCTTCTGTGGGACTTAGACTGACTGGCCCCCAAAGTTAATTGAAAAGTGTCCTGGCTCTCATTTGCATAAGAAACACATTTAAAGGTGAAAAATTATAAATAAATATGCGGCCACCTGTGAAATATGGCTTTTGGCCTGCTGGTCATTTATAACTTTGCCTTTAATTACGTGACAGGCTGGGGCTCTGCAGCTGTAATGAGAGGCTGAAGTGATGGAAGGGAGTGTGTGAGAGACAGAGTGTATGAACAGACAAACGTGTGCAGATGCACACGGATACACATGCAGGTAGAAAGTCATGGTATCTGCATGGACACACACACAAAGACAGACACACACTGATTTTAACACAGATATCTACTGTACATACAGCAGCAAACTGTCAAAAACATACACAAAAACTTTGATAACTTGTAATCAAACCATTACAGGAATAACACATTACCTTTTGATTCCCAGTGATCTGCTATAGCGTAGAGGCCATCCTGTCCTCCATCCTTATGATGAGCTGCTCTTTTATTCTGAACCCCTTTTCTTCAAAATCTAGACAAGCAGGGCTGAGGCTGACTGTGACATTTTTTGCTGGTTGAATAACTTCCTCGTGACTTTGGCCCAGCC